GTCTGGACAAGTGCTTGCCTATTTGGAGAAACTCTTTTCACGTTGTTTGGGGCTTTGTGAGCTTCCCTTGTGGCTCAGCTGGTAAACAATTTGCCTGCAATGCTAGAGACCTGCCTTTAATCCCTGATTTGAGAAGATCCCCTGGAAAAGGGAAAGGCTACCCACTCGAGTGTTCTGGCCTGGAGAATTCCATGGACTATAGTCCATGGGGTGGCAAAGAATTGGACACGACTGAGCGACTTTCACTTTTACTTAGGCTTTGTACTGTGTTTGCAGAGTTTCTCTTCCTTTCTCTTTGAAATGCTATTAGACATTACTTTCTGTGTCCATGAATCAGGCTTGCACACAGGAGAGCTACATATATTAAATCTCATTGAAAGGAATCTTCTCTGTTTTGCCATAGATATGAGTTACTATGATGCAAATATATATTTGACACTTGCTGAAAGAAACCCTAACACTTACTGAAGCTTTAGACAAGAACCAATAATCTTGAAACTCTGTCATGAAATTCTAGAAGCTGCCAATTTTTAAGGTCCCCTCGGCTTTTATATTTTAGGACATAAGCACTTAGAGTTCAGGAGCTAAGCGCTGCGCCAGCAGACTCGTGCAGCAGACACATGCATTGCCATTTAGATTGACTTGTCTTAGGATTTGTCACTGAGGCGCTCAGTGTTCCAGAAAGAAGAATGAAAGTAGGACAGAGCATTTGAATTTGTTAAGCACGGTGGGAATCCTGCCAATGAATGATCTCTCAAGGACTGAAAAATTGACACATTAAACTGACATGGAAAGAGCTAAAAATGAAGACCAGGAAAATCTATATACATGGTAGCTCTTCATCCCAATAGCTAAGATCACTAACAACTTAACCAATACAAGGACTTATTTAAAGAACAAAATGGCTATGAGTATGATATATATACTATTATTTTTAAACAGTGTTAACTCCAGGCTGGTTGATGTTGATGATGATTCCTTCCATATATGATTATTTCATCTGATGCCCTATATATCCCTTATGCCTGAGTGATGAAGTGCACACAAAAATAACCTTTGGGGGCCTTCACCATTTATTTCCATTCAGGACAGAGTGAAATGTTTTATCATTTGCAGATAGAGTGTTTGATTTAGAAAAGGCCTCATCTTGAGCATTTCTTTCTTTTAAAAATGCCAAAATTGTTAATGCCCTTCATCTCTTAAGGACTAAGAATTTGGTACCTGGCAGTATTATATATTCCAAGACCTTATTCCCAGAAAGCCATGTGAAATGTAGAAATCATACTGTCCAGGAGCACTTAGATGGCTGTGTTGCTGAGTGTCTGTTTACCTAGTGTTTTAAAATGTCACTATGGGAGGCTTTAAATGATTATAAAGTTAAATCTACTTACACAGACTTCAACACAGTAGTGGTTTTTTTTTGTTTTTTGATCCACTAAAAAGGGCAATGGTTGCTGAAGATATGCTGCCAGAAAAACCTCTGCCCAGCTAGAGACAGCATTCAGCCAAAATTCACCCTTTGGGAATTTGGATAGTCACACCATAGCTTCTGAGGGCTTCCCGGGTGGCACTGTGGTAAAGAATCCATCTGCCAGTGCAGGAGACTCAAGAGATGTGAGTTTGATTCCTAGGTTGAGAAGACCCCGTGGAGAAGGAAATAGCAACTCACTCCAGTATTCTTGCCTGGAAAATTCCATGGTCAGGGGAGCCTGGTCGGCTACAGTCCAAGGCTTGCAAAAGAGTGACATGACTGAGCACACACACACACACCCCATAGACTTTAAGAGCCGTCAACCGTGGAAGTTATGGGCTTCTCCTGCCACTCGCCATCAGAGCGTCTTAATAATAGAAACTGAATTCATGGGCAAATGCTAATTCTAATGACTTTAAATCTCGGCGTCCCGTAGATGCATCTGTTTTTGTGTGTGAATGACTCTGGCTATTAACTATCAGAACAAACTTAAGGGAGTTTCATCTGTTTGGATATTATGACCAAAACCTGTGAGGACATATCCCCCAGAAAATTTGATGTTCTACAGGTACAAGAAGGTTAGAGGTGCAGGGTTAAGGCCAGAGAGCAATGCAGATTTAAAGCAGCAGCACCAGTGTTCAGGATATGCAGAGTCTTCAAAAAAACAAAAAAACACTCAAAGTAAGGAAGTTGAATCTCTCTACAGCTTCCTTTGAGAATAGCCCACAAGAATTATTCTGTTTTTCAATTAGGGATTAGTCTTGTGAGTATTTTCTAATGTGTGTAAGAGATTCTTCTGAAATGGAACAATTCAGTTGGGGTTACTGAGGATCAACTCAGGGAAACCTATTTAAAAAAAAAAAAAAAGATGCTATTCTGATCCCATTGTTGTGTCCTAGCATCTGACTGCCTTTAATTAAGAGAAAGATGGGATTGACCCTGGAGTGGTACTCACTAAACTAGGTCATTCGTTGCTATAGAATTATTTAGTTGGTCTACTTCAGTCATTATTCACGGATATATTTATTCAGCACTTAGTCTTGGCCAGGCATTGTGCTGAACACATAAATGTGAAAAAGACTTAGTTCTGATTCACCCTTAGGTTTAAAGCCTGATTTCCTACTAAGCATATATATCCTTCCTTCCCTTGCTTGCCTCTACCTGTGTTTTCCATACTCATTTTTTTCAGACATGGTTATTTCTCCTTAGGAGAGTGATAGTAAATGAGATAACATTTTCTTTAAATGAGCTTTTTAATATGTCAGTAATTTGGAGTGAAGCTTCGTAATTTCTAAAAGCTAATATCTGACTTAATATAATATATTGGGAGCTAGATAGTAAACTGACTCTTAGGGAAAATAAGGGGGGCAAAAGTTTTAAAACATGATAACCAAAAACCTGGAATCTAAATTTGAGACAGTAACAAATTCAGATCTCACATTTGGAATATCTTACTGCCCATTTGGTACAGATCTGTACTCTGGTTATCTAAAACTACACATTTTGAAAAACTAAAAGTCTATTAAACATATTATTCTGAAATGCAGCAATTGACATCTCTCATGTGTTGCTGGCCACATTTAAAACCATTTAACTTACTTGAAGAAATTGGTTCTTGTACACCTAAAACTAGTACACTGTTATATGTCAGTTATATCTCAGTTTTAAAAATTTAAGATAAAGTAAAAAAAAAAAAAAAAAGAAATTTATTCCTGCTCTGTTTTCTGAAGATCTGATTTATTTAAAATTGTTAGCCTTAATTGATAGATAAGTTGGACTTTACCAAAATTTAAAACTTTTGTGCTTCAAAGGACACTATCAAGAAATTAAAAGATAACCACACAATGGAAGAAAACATTTGCAAATTGTGTATCTGATAAGAATCTTGTATCCAGAATATGCAAAGAACCCTTACAACTCAATCATAAAAATATTGCATTGGCCAAAAAGTTCATTTCAGTTTTTCCCATAAGATTGTATGGAAAAACCCCAAAATGAACTTTTTGGCCAACCCAATAATTACGGGGCTTCCCTGGTGGCTAGATGGTAAAGAATCTGCCTGCAACACAGGAGACTTGGGTTCAGTCCCTAAGTTGGGAAGATCCCTCAGAGGAGGAAATGGCAATCCCCTCCAGTATTCTTGCCTGGAGAATCCCCATGGACAGAGGAGCCTGGTGGGCTACAGTCTATGAGGTCACCAAGTAAGACATGACTGAGCAACTAACACTTGATAATTATGTTACTAGTTCATTAACTTTTGATAGTCCTACTTTCTTTGGTGTTTTCTTGGGATGGATGTTTGCTCAGTCGTGTGGAAGGAAGACAGGAGGGTAAGAGCTGACCTCTTTCTGATCTTGCACAATCTCAGTTCCCCCTGCAGCGCTCATCAGAGAGAGTGGCGGTGGCTATGGGAGTGGGTCTCTAGGCTTTTGCAGCCACGCCCAGCAGCCCCTTCCAGCCGCCTCCTCACCCCCTCCTCCAAGAACCCTGTGCTGCCCAGCCGCAGGGGCCTGTCCTCTTGCTCCCATGTACTGTGGCCCTTCCTTCCCCACGATGTTCTAGCTCCCGAGATTCTGGACCTTCTCACCCCTCTAGCCACCCACCCACCTAATGAGACCATCTCAATTCTAGCGTCTTTCCACAGCCTTTCTGAAAAATCAGTGGCACCTTCATCTGAGTGCCTTGAATTTTTCGTATACCCCTGAGTCAGCACCCGCGTGGCATTACATATACTCGTCTGTTGTAAGTCTGTCTCCTTAGGTAGACCCTGAGCCCCTTGGCGGCCAGACCCCACGTCTCCTTCACCTCCTTAGCTTCAGCTGCAGCTCACTGCCCAGCCACAGTAGGTGCTCAGTAAATGTCTCACCGATTGAACTGTTAGACTGGGGGAAGCTGTGTCTTTAGAGAAAGGTGGGGAAAGTGTCCCAAAGTACCTGGAAGAAAGGGATTTGACTCTATCATGTACATTTCAAAGTGAGACAACAGAAATGTCGGCCGCAGTAAAGGCACTTTGTGTCGCCCAGGGAAGGGACTGGGTTGACTACACAGGTTCCCAGTCTCAGCCTTCCATTCAAAGAAATAGATTCCGATTGCCAGCCTCTGCCATCATGCCTGGAAGTGATTGTATTTGGGCTTGCATATCCAACCCCTTGACATGCTTGGGATGTCGCCATCTGATATTGACCCTAAATCATTAGCAAGTGACTTTCCATCCCCCTCAATGTACTTTCCATCTAATCAGTTCGCTGCCAGCTCACAGCCTTCAACCGCATGCCATTGGAATGATGCATCTAACTGCTAGCCGCTTTTAACCTAGTTCCACTTGAACTCGAGTCTCTCTTTTGGAAAAATTCGATCTTATTCCAGTCACCTTTGTGAGCCAAATTGATGAATTGAGTTTGTTGCTTTGATTTCTCCTTTTTGATGTACCTCCTTCCGGTTTGTTGTTTTGAATTTTTATTATGCTTGCTTTGTTTTCCTTCTTGCTCTCCCCTCTCTCATTTTGTTTTCTCCATTCTTCTCATTGGAGGCAATGAGCCGTCCAGCGGCCGGAACTCCCCTCTCCCTTACCGGCCAGACAGCCGCCCTCTCACTCCAACTTACGCTCAGGCCCCTAAACATTTCCATGTTCCAGGTAGGAGCTGACGCGGTCTATGTCTTGGTGTCCTGTCACGGTGTAGAATGTAGCCTTGTCGCTTCTGTCTCGTCTCCATCTCTCATGCTCTGTTCATTGAGATGCACACAGCTGATAACCCCTAAATTGCAGTGTCTGACCTAGAGGGCCTCTCAGAAGCTTTGTATGGGAAATGCCAGGATTGTTTGAAAGTTTCCGTTTTCTCTAAAATGTTTAAGGTAGGGTGGGAGGCAGAAGGTGAAGGAAGGAGGGTTGAATCGCTTTATTTTGTTTCGACTAAAATTTTAATTTTACCCTTACATTTGAACCTTCTAAGCTACCACTCTGTGGTTTACTGTCATTGACTATCACGGTGGTAATCTAGTTATCTTCTCGTTGTAGAGATTGGCCCACAGTGTTCTTGAAAGTATTTTTATTTTATCTGTTTGTCTTCGGCACGGAGATTCTTTCTATGGGCTTTTCAGAGAGCTGTAAAATTGGGTCATTTGGAGGGTCTTTCTGCGATATATAGTTAACTAACCCTCCATAGCCCACAGAGAGATCTTGCAATTTAGGCTTGGCACTCTAAGCTTTAGTGTCATGGTACAAATAGTAATTTGCCGACAGGAACTGGAAAAGTCAAAACACATATCAATATCTTCATGTTTCAGGTCAGCTCAATTTGTGAAGGCAAGACTGGCCATCAGAGGTCATGATATTAATTTTCCATCAGAAGTACATTGTTTTGCTTCTTTTAGCTACTGAAAGTAGTCTAATAAATGACCGCTATATTAATGTTAGCACACATATTTGGAATCTGTATTTTTCTCTTTTGAGAAAAACTTGATAAACTTAAAAACTTAATAAACAAAGTTAATAGGATTTATACCACTGAGATATGACTGCCTTTTTAAAAAAGAAAAAGTTTCATCAAACCTTGAAAATCAGTGTTGTACTTTTGTGGCTTTTTCACAAGAATCCAGTACCCAAGGTTCTGGGGAAACCTCCTGAGTATTTGCAGTCAAAGTGAAATGGTTGTATAATCAAATGGGGCTCTGTATTAAAATGTGAATAATATTTGGCATCTCTTTTCCTTTTTTTTTTTTTTTAATTTGGCCTATGCACGTTAGGATTTTGTCCAACATCTTGTCAATTATATCAGATTAGCCTTGCACGTAAAAACTGTTTCTGTGTTTTACAAAAAGGTACCCTTAATTTTACTTCATCGCTTTCCACTGTTCCGCTCATTAGTTGAAAAGTAAATTGAGCTGCTGGTCTTTACTGGGAGCTCAATTTCTAGACAGTAGCAATTTGGGGATTTTCCCCAAACTGGTTATGTCTTCCTCACCATCACAGTATCTCCGCTGCTTGCATTTCTCCCAGTTTTAACTCCACTTTTACTGAAGTGTGTATTTGAAATAAATGGCTCATGAGTGAGTGACATCTCTCTATATCCTAAGATGTATTACAAAGGATTCCATGTCACATGTCTATAGTAATTCACTTATTTCTGTAATTTCTTCTTTAGTAACCTCAATCTTTGTAATACAAAAGTCAACCTTCCGGGTTATTTTTGTTCAAGAGTCTTCAGTTCGGTTTGCCTCTGGGTTGGTCTGTTTTTCCCATCGCTGAACAGGTTCCCATAATCACTCACGTTTGCTTTTCATTTCCACAGATCAAGGGATCAACATTTACCGAAAACCACCCATCTACAAACAGCATGGTAAAACCCACTTTCCTCCACGTAGCTTTTAAGTAGCAACGTCGGCTCAACTCTTTGCTGTCCTCTGAAACGCTCATCTGCTGTTGCTTTTGAGAATCAAACTGGGGTGTCCAGCATGTTATGCCTTTACGGTCTGCTAAGATGCAAATACTGTAAAGTTGGTTTTCCTAGATAGAAAACACCTAGCCTTTTTCTGAGCCCATCAACATGTATCATTTCACTCATACAGGAGGGGAAGTATGGTCACACAGTCATTCACAAACACCCTCACAAGATGTGGTGGGCATCAAAGAGTTTAACCAACTGCTCTGATAATTTTGATGAGCTTGCAGTTTAACTAATTAAAACTAGTGAACACTAGCTACCTAAAAAATTCATCTGACCGAGGGAACTCCCTGGTGTTCCAGTGGTTAGGATTCCACGCTTCTGCTCCAGGGAGCATGGACTCAGTCCCTGGTTGGGGAACTAAGATCCCACAAGCTTCACAGCCAAAAAAGAAAAAAGAAAATGAGTTAATTAGTTTGACCAAGCACCCATCAGCCTGACTGTCCAGTTCCCCAGTTTCTAATGGGGCATGCAGACATCTGCGCCCTGTGGTAGAGTGGACCAGCCTCACGCTGAGACACATGCCTTGGTCCCAGCTCGTCATTCTGAGATATCACAGATGAAATTTCTGTCCCTCAGTCTTCTCATCTGCAAAAGCCAGTGCATGAGGCCAGCTTGTCTCTGAAATTCTTGCAAACTAAGAACCACTGACGTGGATCTAGAACTGTGTTTTCCTTTTCTGGAAATATAGCATTTTTAAACCCAGGAAATTGTATTACTCTTTGCAAATCACTATTCCCTCCACCATTTTAAGATCTCTATAGATTCCGCTGCTGTAAATCTTCATGAATAGGTTTCTACCTAGTCAAAGCCAAGACTTTGGGTGATTTCAGAAAATTGTACCCAAATTGTGCCTGGAAATTTGAAGGCTGCCTTTAGAATCCAGTTGACATTAATGTATCCTGAAGGCTTAGGATGACATGAAAAGCAAATAAAGTTGAAATGCAAAAAGGAAAAAAAAATTCAGGCCAGCATTATAGGGGAAAAAAAGAGAATGTAGGTATTGTAATGACTCTAGGACTAGGTTTTTTTTCCTTCATCTATATTTTTCTTTTTTAGGAGTTTACACCTTGTGCTTGCTTTTTTAAGTTTGTTAACATTGTTTTTGTTTGCTTTTTTATGGTTTAATGTCTTCTCACCCACTCATTAACATGTGAATGTTTACTGACTTCACCAATTCTAATCCGTAAGTACTGTTTGAAGTCTGGCTTTTTTTTTTTTTTTTAATTTAAGAATAAGATTCCCAGTTTGATTTATCAATTTAGAGACTTTTCCTTTAAATACTAAAATCTCTAAGACCCTGCCTGTCTGGACAAAAATAATCAAATAAGATTTAAAGAGATTGGATAATGTTAGGTTATTTATTTGGAAGGAATTGACTTCTTTTTGTTATACTGACTTTGACTTTATGCTTACTTTCTATCAGTCCCTCAGAGTTAAGAGTACCACAAGCAGAATGGTACATCCAGAGGACCTTCTGCAAGAGAGCAGTTCTGTGTGATAGAAAAAGATGCCACCCCACACCAAACACTGGTGTCTGTGCTCTGTGCATTCTGAAAATGCTAGATTTAAATAAAGTCACACTTCTCAGTCTCTAACACGCTAATACCTATTATCCTTCTTTAAGAAGAGGATATACAAGGCAGTGTTTTCCAAGCTGATTTTATCTTTTTTCCTCATGAGGTTAGAGATTCAGAAAAACAGTTCCATCCCTGACTGAGAATTTACCCCTTTTTTATATATAGCAACCTCAATCAAGTTACTTAACCAAATTGAAACTCAGAGGTTACTTTAAAAATGAGGAATTGGAGCTGAAGATTCAAAAAGTTACTTCCAGATTTAAAAATCTATAAGCTCCAGGAGGGGGGCCAAGTTTTATCTATAGTATATAAATGCATATTATTAGTATATTTAGAAATGTTTAGTAACATCCCAGATCAGTTTGCAAAATTAGCCAGAGTCAGAGACTGACCATTTAACCTGGCTTGTTTCTGTGATTACATTTGGGGCTCTAAGCCAGTAACCCCTCCTGTAAACACAGCCATTAAGCACACTGTGAGCTAATGCTGCTCCTCGTCTGACTTTGGTGTTTTAAAGTTGGATGACTTCATATGCAAGTTATATGACTTGTATATGCAGACCCTTGAACAGAATGACCAAATGGGTATGGCAAACTCAAGGCTAATTCCTGCAAACTGATAGTGAACTTTCCTGCTGCCATTTCACTTGGGACTCAAGGACACATATATAATATGCAAGGATTAAAATGAATTGGATCAATATTTTTATGGCTAAGAAGCCACAAAGATCCATAGCCAATTCTCTTACAATTAACACCTACAGTCAAAGGACAGTGTCATGCATTTCACTTACCTTTTTAATTTCAAATTACTAATTCAGGTTTCTAATTTCTCTAGAAGAGTATTGTCCAATAGAACGTTCTGTGATGATGGGAAATGTTCTTTAATTATGTCGTCCAATACAGTGACCGCTAATCACAGGTTGATCACATAAAATGTGGCTAGTGTAGCTGAGGAACTGATAATCATTTTGGTTTATTTAATTGCATTAATTTAAGTGTAAATAGCCACATGTAGCTCAAGCTAGTATTGGACAGCACAGCTCTAGAACAAGGTTTTTTCGGATGCAGAATAGATGTGGATTGAAGCTCTGCTTCTGGCAGAACACAAGGCAGATGAGTTGTCACCTAGGCACTGTTAGTGACTGGGCGATTGATGGTGGTGATAAGCAGCTATCTGGAGTTGACACTTTGGCCAGAGCACAAGAAAGCGATGTCAGAGGGTTGTACCACTGTGGCCTTGCAGACTGAGAGCTAAGCTGCCCCTGATTCCCATCTAGATGCAGCTGCCTTGGCAGCCCAGAGCAAATCTTCAGAAGACATCATCAAGTTTTCCAAGTTCCCAGCAGCCCAGGCTCCAGACCCCAGCGAGATTCCAAAGATTGAGACGGACCACTGGCCTGGTCCCCCCTCGCTTGCTGCCGTAGGTATGCCACTGTTGCAGCTAAGCCAAACGGACGGATTGCTAGGAGATTTCAAAATGAAATGCTTAAAAAATATGCAAGGAAATGTGTAAAGACTTTAAGAAAAGTATGACCAAGAGGTAGAAGAGTGAAAAGAACTAATGTAGTATTAACGTGTGCAGAATACTTCCAAGTTACAAAAACCCAACCACCAGAGCCTTATGCTAACCAAACCCAACAAGGGGCAGAACTGGTCTAAAACAGGTGTTTTGTGTGGACTCTCAGTGGTTGTTGTAAAATCAGTAACTCTTTTGAATGTAGTTGAATCAAAGCCTCCTGCCTTGAACTTTGTTCTCTATAGTTACAGTGAGTGAGTTTACTGAGTGTCCACAGAAGCGTGACTTCTTTGAATTAAATTTGTTTTAGACGATTTCTGAGTTGTAATTACAGTTCTTAACAACCAGTCGTAACACTGAAGCACTTTCAATTTTCTTGCCTGATCACATTCTCCGTTACTAAGAAGGGCTGTCACAGAGTAGCACGTGTTCTGGAATATTGCTCATGCAAAGTTACATGATTTTACATCTGTCATTTCCATGAATTCTGTGCTAATGTCACTTTTGAGCTGTTTCATTCTTTGCTTTGAACCACACATTTATGCTTTAGAGTTGTGTCTCTGTCCTTACTGTTTTGTCATTAGTTACATCACTTAACCCTAAAAAATGGTATCACCAAACTCAGAAGCTACTACTGAAAATTTAGTCAACTTTACAAAGATATGACTATATTATCATGTTTCTGTTGACAATCTAAAAGGCCTTCAATTTTCCAAAACTCCCACATTTTCCTCATCCTATTTTTTTATAATAACTTTTACAAGCAATATAAGTGGACTTTAAAGCAATTGATAGTTATAGAAATGGTTGAAGGAAAAATCTACCTCCTTGGTTCATTATTCACATGTATTTTATACATTATGTTGGCTTAAGATGTATCTATTGCTAGTTCTTGCAGACTTTTATTAGTGTAAATTAAAGAGAGAGAATTCACATTGCCATTTAAAAACTAAGACAATCATCAGCTTTTTTCTGCTGGTCCAGATCCTTCAGGCAGTTCTTGGGGTTACTGAGATTCCTGGTTCAGTCATGTTGCTTAGTGGGGACATTAAACAGCTAAACTTTGGGGAAGAATTAACATTTTATTGTTATCAACTGTCATCAGTAAATAGTTGAAAGCTCTTTGAGTTTCCAAAATGAAGAAAACTTCTGGCCCATTAATCAAAATGATGAAGACTGTGAAACTATTAAAGTTTGTTTTGATTAGATTAGCAAACTTTCCTGTTTCCTCCCACAGCCAGATTAACCCAGGCAACGTAGGAAAACAGTAATTATCTTACTTTTCCAACCATTCAGACAGATTCCTTCTTTCTACCCCAGCTCCTTCTTTCCAGGAAGCTTAAAATTTGTACATTATCTGCTATATTGTACTGAAATAAGTAACTTCATAGCTGCAGTAACCCTTTTATGGATCTATTCTTATAAAACTTTTTTGGACCATTTTCCAAGAGACTGAGGCAAGGAAACATTAGAGACCCATCTCTTAAAAGAAAAATAAAGCATGCTTCTTAATGAATTTATTGAAGGTAGCAGGCAGGGTGATAGTGTGGTAACAAACCTAAATACTCAGAAAAAGGGAAAACTATAAGATTTTTAAACTCATCACAGGAAAGTGACTATCTTACCTATTTGATGGTAGTTAGATGAATTTGGATTCCTCTGTGTTTGACCATTGACCCCAGGGACATCAAAATAGTAACTGCCGATGCCCCTCCCACCTATTATGGATGCTCTGGCCAGTGGCCAATGGGGTGACTTAGACCCGATCATAATGGCAAACCGAGTTCTAAGTGAGCAGATCAGATTTGTGGCCAGGCCAGAATTCTCACCTTACTGAATCACACATTGCACTGTCTTGTCAAATGGGGCTCCCTGTCTCAGGAAGCCAGTCAGGGGTGCTGAATTGGTAGCAGGCTCTTTTTTTTTTCCCCTTGTGTTGTTCACGAATGCTGACAGCCACTGCTGACTTTGCTCACCTGACAAGTTGAGCACAGGTGCCCTAATCCCTTGAGACCCAACCCCCTTCCCTGGGGCTAACGTGAGAAGTTGTGTTTGCTGTGGAATTAGGAGCTGACGCGAGGCGCAGATCCAGCGGCCGAGAGGAAGAGGATGAAGAGCTTCTGAGACGCCGGCAGCTTCAGGAGGAGCAACTAATGAAGGTTTGTCCCTTAAACGACCTTGCTGGAGCCTTTGGTTCAGCTCTGCGGATCCTTGTTATGGAATGATGACTGTGGGCAAGATGAGCAAGAGGTAGTCCCAGGCCTCTTGCTGTCCAGCAGGAGAGACGAGATGGGCACATGGAGACTCTAAGGCAGAATATTTAGTGGGTTCTGGAAGAGAGCATAGAGGCTGGAGGTCAGATGGGAATGGAATAAACACTGGGGCTTCTACAAGGAGAACGAGACTCTGTGTGGGGCCTGTGGGTGTGGTACCTGTGTTGAAAGGATGCTGAAAGGCCAGGCTTAGCCCAAGTGTACTTCGAGGTGGCACAATACCTTCTTTCCCTCACGCAGGCTGTGCTGAAGGAATTCCCTTGGAACAGAGCATTTCTCCAAGTCTTTCCTTGGACTCATGGGACCTTGTGTGTGTATCTGGACCAGAAGAGAGGGATAAAATAGACTCTCACCAAAGCACTCTCATGATAGCCTCTGTCTCTAGCATAGGCCTGCAGCATCCCAGAAGACCAAAAGAAGGATAGTCAGTTGTAGCCAGGGATTGGGGGAGCTGAGAAATTGTAAATTATTATTTTCCAAAGATACTTAATCATCTGGGGAATGCACATATACTAGTTGTACGGGGATACAAAGTTGCGTGTATTTTGTGATCCCAGTTTTATATGTTATGTGCATAGAGAAAGACTGGATAGGGGTAGATCAAGATGGCAATAATGTTTATCTCTGGTGGATTATGGTCTGTTCTTTTTTCCCCTCCAGATTTTCTAGAATCTGTACAATGAGCATGCATTATTTTTTCCCTATTTCTTAAACAAGTCAGTATAATTTCTTTTTAAAGGCTGCTATCCCCAAGCTTCCCTTCCCACATCAAAAATACGTACATCCTCACACACCGCCTCTTGAGTTTCCCTGCTGGCACTTTGGCGGGGGCAGAGAAAGGAGAACACTCTTCTGATGTGGAGCCTGGCTGAGGGCAACCGAGCCTTGACATTGAAGGGGCCAAGTGGGGTTCAAGGTCCAACACCTGGCTGACTTTTGGGGGAACCCCAAGGCTTGGGGACAGTATGCTTCAGGCCTCTTCAGAGTCAGGAACTTCTTGCAGGACCCGCTGAAAAGAAACTGCAGCCCCGTGAAAGTGACTGCAGGCTCCTTTTTCATCTTTCTTTCCTCCATGAATAGCTCAACTCGGGCCTTGGCCAGTTGATCCTGAAAGAAGAGATGGAGAAGGAGAGGGAGAGCCGCGAGAGGGCCTCCCTGGCCGCCAGTCGCTATGATTCCCCCATCAACTCAGGTGAGCAGCAGACCCACTGCCTTCCCTGAGCCGGGTGCCGGCCACCTGCCTGTGGGGAACCTATCTTGACTGTTCCAGGAGGGGCAGGGCTGCTCCCGGAAAGGAAGCATGACAATCCTTTGTCGTGGAATCTGTGTTCAAGTCAGCTTAAGATTCTGCCACGGCTCTTCCATAAATGTGTGTTTCCTTCTTGCTAGAAATGGGGGGAACCCTTGGAGGGTGTCACAAACCAGGAGGGGTCAGGTTCCTTGTGCTGAGTCTTCCTTCTAGAACATACATCTCAATCTATCTCAGGGGGAAGTGGCCAAAGGGAAATTCTTATAGAGAACAGAATGTTTTTTTTTTTTTTTTTAAGTTTTTGTCCACACCCTGCAACATGTAGGATCTTAGTTCCCTGAACAGGAATCAAACCCATGTCTCCTGCCTTGGGAGTGCAGAGTCTTAACCACTGGAGTCCCAGAGAAGTCTGAGGACAGAATGCTTTTTAACTGTAGAGAGCATGAACACTACTTTCTAAATATTTTCTATATTTTCTAATATGTTCAGTGTAAGAGCTGAGGGCTAACAGGGATGTTTTTGATACTTTTGAAAGAGATTACTCATCTGCTGGGCTAAAATAGTCTATCAGTAATTTTCCCCTGCTTATACTTATCATAAGCCAAATCTCTTTCAAGCTGTAAGATTTCTTCTCTCATGTTCTAAATTAGTGCATAATTTTCTCTCCTGAGGGTTCCTTTAAATATGTGTTCAGTATTTTCCTATGCAAATACTTCTGCTAAACATTACTTCATTTAATTGTCACAACATACCAAGAAGTACATGATATTATCATTCCCAACTTTTAGATCAGGAAACAAATAAAGGAAGTTTTAGTTACTTGCTCAGTGTCACATTGCTGATAACTACAAAACTAAGATTAGGAGTCCAAGTGTTATAACTCCAGAGCCCACACTCTTAGTTGGAATGCCCTCCTACCTCTCATAGATGCCTGCCTGGTATCGATCTTAGATTAGGTAGTTTTCTAATTTTTAGAATAAATCCTTCCAATTCTGCAGATCTGTTCTCTAAGAGTAAATGGCACTGCATCTACATGGGTCAAGAAGTGACGAACTTAAAAGATGGAATACCAGGCCCAAAGATGCAGCAGTGTTAAGTCACAGAGCCAGAATTCAAGCCCAGGTCTGCTCCCTCCAAAACCCAGCAGTATGATGCATTTATGCTGCTGATCAGTGGGACACCTTATCGCAGCCCTTCCAGGAGTCCAGCCGTGGCTGGCCAGTAGATCCTGGTAACTTACATGTTGGCCTCCAGATCAGTTATCACTGTCATACCAACCAGGGCTTGGGTCTATGCATCCCAGTAGCCCTGGGTTCAAATCATTGCTCAGATCTTTACAAGCTGAGCTACCTCGGGCAAGTACTGAACTTCTCTTGGTCCCTATTTCTGCTCCAATAAAATGGAAATAATATCAGCATTATTAGGATTGTGTTGAGGAGTCAGAGATAAAGCATGCCAAGCATGTCTTTCTTCCCAACCCCTTCTTGATAATGTCACTGCCCACCCATTCCCTGTATCACCCAAATCTGGTGGTGTTTTGTCAACATTTGAGCCCAATATGGGGCTTTTCAGGTGGTGTTAAAGAACTCACCTGCTGATGCAGGAGACAGAAGAGAAGAGGGTTTTTTGTTTTTTTTTTTCCTTGTGTAAATCTTCTGTTCTGCAGAGTAGAAGATACACCGGCAATTTCATGAGAGAATTACACTTTCAGTTCCTAACAATTGCTTTTTAAAAATATTTCTCTTATTCAGCTTCACATGCTCTATCATCCAAAACCTCATCTCTCCCAGGCTATGGAAGAAATGGGCTTCACCGGGTAAGATTTCTCAGTGACCCGTTTCTGAGTTTCTTCTCTCTTCAGTCCTAGTTGGAATGTTGATGTATTATCTGAATATATTTGAGAATATGATCTCAGCGTTGGAATATAATGAAAATTGTAATCTCTCTGGGTTCCTGGTAAATCACTTTGAGTTACAGGCAAGATAAAATATTTCTTTTGAGAGAAAGGGAAATTGACTTTAGATAAAACAATAGCCTATGCAAATTATTCTTTTTGGTGGTTTATTAAGTTATTGGCCAATTTTAAGTATGTTTGGAACAACTTATGCATATGAATATATGTTTTTAACTTTGTATTTTATGAGATAAGTATATCCCATGACAATTTAACATCTGAATTAAGATATGCTGTAAGGACAAAACATATCAGAAGTACAAAAACCTTCTTACAAGTAAATTCCACCAATAGTTTTTATATTGATTGCATATTAGAATGATAATATTTTGGAAGCCCTGGTTGCAGTAAAATATACTATTAACATTTTTTAAAAAATAGCCTGTAGAAGCTTGTGGGAAAACTGGATTGTGTGGCAAATTTCTGCAATCAAGTACAAAGTAATTATATATTGGAGCCACTATCTGCTGTAAAAAGATACAGGAAGGTTTGTTGCAACCTTGCTGTCCACAAAGCATAGAACAAGTCTAACTGTGTCGCTCTGATGCAGAGAAATGTCTTTTTATTTATCAGCAAGAGATACTTACTTATCAAGGGTCTGAGCAGTAGCAGTGAACATACAACAAAACACAAGGATTTCATAGAAGAAATGTGTAGGAAAAGTAATGGGGGGTCCAGCAACACAACTTGGGAGGAATTCTTAGGATTTTGTAAATCCTTTTCCTTTTCACCTGACCCCAAAATGAGTACTCTGAAGCGGATTTTCTCATGGTGTTTTCCCTCATTTCAGCCTGTTTCTACAGACTTTGCTCAGTACAACAGCTACGGAGACGTCAGCGGGGGAGTGCGAGGTGAGGCCCAGTTTGTAGGAAGGAATTCATTGGCCCTACTATGTGCTGAGCACTGGAAGTAAAGTGATAAGCAAGCCGTGGGTCTGTCTTCAGAATGTGTCTGGTAGAGACAGGGAAAGAGAAACTCTGAGATAAATGCTATGATTGGACATGCAAAGAAAAGCGAACCACATCTTCAGGGTGTCAGCTTCCATGAGAAAGAGTATTTAAACTGACAACTAAAACTGGGACAGGCTTTTCCTAGCTTTAGGGAGCAACCGGGCAGTAGGGGCAGAGACCCAGAGCTGGGGGAGAGCATGGCTCTTGGGGGCACGTTTGGAGAATTGCAATAGGATGTAATCTCTGTTTATGTTTCCGTATTGTTCTGTGGCCCTGCCCCTTCTGAGATTTTCTTTGTCTTTCCTTTCCAGACTACCAGGTATGGACCAGTCTTTCTCAAGTTGACTACATGGGCAAAACAGCCTTTTTCCAATCCAGACGTGCTCTTCTGCTACTCCAGAGAAGAGTTTCTGTTGAGGAAGACTCTGATTTTGGTTGATCCATCTCATCATTAGTCCACAGATGTGAGGAGCCTTGAGCAGCAGGCATGCCTGGTGCCCAGATCAAGCCAGTCCTGCAGGCCTTGCAGACATGGCATGCACCAGGCTGGATGTCAACGAGTCTCTTGCTCTGCCTTGGAGAGTCTTCTCCAGGGTGGAAGTGGACCACTATCAAGGGTCCACGCATGTACAGTTGTTTTTTCTTTTAATCATAACCACTCACTCCTTGAGGCCCTCTCCTCCTCTTTGTGGTCACAAATGAAACCCCTGTCTTGGCCAATATGAGAAAGCTACTGTGTGTAGTTTTCCTTTTTCCCTTAGAACCTAAACCTAAAATGATGATGGAGAGTGAGAAAAGGGGGAAAGTGCAAAGAAAACTAAAAATTAAAAAAAGTCATAGACTTGGCAATTATTTGCTGTACCATATACTTTCATGCATGCAGCCTACATTCAGGGATTAGTGAATAGTTATTAAGCCAGGATCTTTCATCAACTGGATTATAAGAGGGCAGTATTCCCAGTATCCTTGTTTTTATTCAGCAAGGAGCTCATTTTGAAAACTCCATGGTAATTAAGATGTCACAGCTGTAAAATGGCAGTGAGGATTTGAGACCCAGACAGGGAGGTCTGGGAGCCTGCCGAGCTCTCCCCCAGCTCCCCATGCTGCCATGGGCTCCTCCTGAAATCTGCTTCTCTGTTGCAGACCCTCCCAGATGGCCACATGCCTGGAATGAGGATGGACCGGGGGGTCTCCATGCCCAACATGTTGGAACCAAAGGCACGTGTGGCTCTTCTTCTCTTTCCTCTCACTTGGAGATGAAACGGGGACATAACCCCCAAAAGACTTGATTTTCTATCTTTTTTCAGGGCTGAGACCCACCTGGCTCCAGCCTAGTCCATTAGTCAAGCTAGATCATAAACCATCTTTCTGTTCCCTTGGTTTGCCACACCAAGCCAGCAGGGTTGAACCCTCACTGGGTTTGGTGCTGTGTTCACAGTGAAGTGCCAGCACTTCCCTCCTGTGACCTTGGTACCCACTCGGCCCCAGCCGTGAGCACAACAAAGCCCGCCCAGTGCCACGTGGAGCAGCTGCAACCCACTCCAGATAAGATGGCCCAGATAACGTGCCCCAACTTGCCCAGGACTCTCCTGGTTATAGCACTGAAAGTCTTGCATCCTGGGATCCTCCACAATCCCCAGCAAACTGGGATCATTGGTCGCCCCAGCTCTAGAACATTCTGTGACTCTAGAGGTGTCCAAGGGGTGTGCCCCCTGGTGACCATAACTGGGAGTTATTTCCGTATGTGGGGCTGCATGGCTCCCTGGTTTCATGAGCTGGTCACGGAACAAGATTGTTGAGCCGAGTAAAGGTGTCCTGCCATATACAAACATGTACCTGTCATTTCAGTTCTCTTCTAATCTTTACCTTCATACCCAGTACATAGTAAGTGGGATCCTTTCACCCAACCATGCCCTCCAGAGCCCCAATGCCACAGGAGACACCGGTGGGGATTGGGAATGTGTAAGAACCTGCCCCTGTCCACTGGAAACTCGAGCGAGGAACACCATTGCTCCAATGCTCTAATCATAGTGTCTCAGAAGCTCTGTCTTGGGAATCCTAGGTTTTAGGTAGCTTCTGTTTGTTAATAAAAGGGACAGCTGTGTTCTATAAGAGGTGTTTTTCTTCGCAGATATTTCCATATGAAATGCTGATGGTAACCAACAGGGGGCGCAACAAAATCCTAAGAGATGTGGACAGAACCAGGCTGGAGGTAAAAAACAAAACAGAACTTGTCCCAACTGTATATTCCTGAGCATTTCCTGTGACTCTCCCCTAAGAATTGTTTCAGTTAAGGCAAAAATGAGAAAGGATCAACCTAGGTAAAACTAACTTTGGATGAAAACCCAGATTTGTATTTAGGAGGTCAGCATAAAAATGTGTGGTTAAATACAAAAGAACAGCCCAAGAAATGCAGGATGATTTTAGTCATTTTTCTTAGAAATTTGGGCTTCCCTGGTGGCTCAGCTGTAAAGAATTCACCTTCAGTGCGGGAGACCTGGGTTTGCTCCTTGGGTTAGGAAGATCCCCTGGAGAAGGAAAAGGCTACCCACTCCAGTATTCTGGCCTGGAGAATTCCATGGACTGTATAGTCCATAGGGTTGCAAAGAGTTGGACATGACTGAGCGACTTTCCTGTTCACTTTCCTTAGAAATGTAAAGTTGCCAGAATTTAGTGGGCGATGTAGAATGGGGTCTCCACCACATTTCAGACACACCCAAATCCTTATCTTTCCCTGAGTCTGAGTTGAGTCTGCTGAGATTAGGGAGGGAGCATTTGATACAGAGGTGTGTACTAGACAAGTTTCTCTCTTGACTGTTTCCACATTCCTGGATGAAGGCTGAGCAGGGTACACATACCTAAGCCGCCCTCCTTAGACATGGGAGACTGATCTTTGTACTTTTCCATCTGAATGGTTTTAATTAAGAAAAACTCTGGCTGCCAGTCTCATAAAGAATCGTTAATTTTCCCTGACAAAAGGCTGTACCTTTGTATGTGAGCTCAGGCTAGCACAGAGGAGAAAGGCTGGATCCACTATGCTAAGAGAACTTTTCTAGACAGCACAAGAGATTGAAGTCCATAGACCAGGGCTTTGCTGGTGGCTCAGTGGTAAAGAATCCACCTGCAATGCAGGAGATGCAGCAGGGCCATGGGTTCGATCCCTGGGTCAGGAAGATGCCCCTGGAGAAGGAAATGGCTACCCACTCCAGTATTCTTGCCTGGAAAACCCCATGGACAGAAGAGTCTGGCAGGTTACAGCACCATGGTGTCACAAAGAGTCAGACACAACTGAATATATACACCATCATCATCAGTAGACCAAGCATCCACATGAACTCCTATAGCTGAGTCAGGAAAAAGCCCCAGGGCTCCCAAAGGACCACCCTGGATGTCTCTCTCTGACTTTCTTATTGCTCTGGTCCATTTTCTCCACATCTACTCAGCATTCCAATGACCAGAAGCAGAGTCGCCTCCAGCATAATGAATTAGGTTTCTGTGCCCCATCCCCTTTCAGTGTTATGATAGTCATCAATAGTACTCCACTAGCTCTGCTGTTTGGTAGGAGGGGTACCTCACCTGGCCCATCCAGGTAAGGAACTGGGTCCTTACCACTGCTGGGTCCAGTGCCTGCTAGGAAGCCTCAGAGATAAACTCCTTTTCCGTCACTCTGCCTTGCTCTTCAAAACAGTTGCTTGTTAACTGAGGAACAACTCTCGAGGCCACCCATGTGGCCAGCGGGACTGACCACTGTTCTTTTCTCCCATCACAGCGCCACTTAGCCCCAGAAGTGTTTCGGGAAATCTTCGGAATGTCCATCCAGGAGTTTGACAAGTTACCTCTTTGGAGACGCAACGACATGAAGAAAAAAGCAAAACTCTTCTGAGTCCCACATGTAGACAGCCCTTAGGAGGACTGACCACGGCGGGGACACACAGGATGTTGAACTAAGGCCCAAACTTGATCGGAGCATTTGCAAACTACAGTCCGTCAGCAACAGCCACAAGGGAAAATCTGATTGAAATGCCCACGAGCCAAATATGGGGCCAGCCCGCGGCCACACTCGCCCAGAAGCAGTGGGGTAGAAATGTGTGTTCCCACACTCGACATTAGCGTTCACCCGCGACCTTTTTCCATCACCTTGTGCCCACAACAGGAGCTACTGCTTTCATTTTCTTTCAGCTGTTATCCAACAGTAGCGCGACTGTATGAATAAGAGCCAGCAAGTGCCCTTAAGATGCCGCATGGGCAAGCAGTTGTAATAACTCCAAAGTATGAATATATTTATCTTGTAGCGCCTTGGCTGAGAAGCAGGAGCCCGGGGGGGCAGGTCCACGTGGCAGCAGTCTTTGCCCCTTTCCTCACTGGCCTCCTGCAGCGCTGCCCAGGCCTCAGTGGGATGGACAGCAGGGCCGGGCTCCCCTGGAGCTCTGTTTCAACAGCCACCGAAGGCATTTTTAACAAGCTCCTTGTTCCCTACTGTTTGCTAGGACCCAACTTGGCAAGTTACTTAGCTGTTGCTAAAAAAAAATAAGAGAGAGGAAAAAGGAATGGGTGAAAATTCGCCTTTAACCCTTTTCTACTTCAGGCAGTGTGTTCCTCCCCGCCAAGGACAAAAGCAAGGAGCCCCCAGCCCTCCACTCTTACACAGAAAGGAAAGGGAAGGATTGTCTCCTGATTGGCCCGGTTGGGTACTGTTAGATGAGTTTGCTCCAAAGGCCATAGCCCTCTTGACCAAAAAAAAAAAAAAAAAAAATTCTGTGTCTTCCCAATGCAAGTTTTCCAACCCAGCTTCCTCTTCTCTCTATCCAGCATCCTATATATCACACCAAGCCCTCGCTGATTTTGAGTTCTTTAAGGTCTTTTCAGTAGTAGGCTAAGGAAAGGCATGTTTTTCTCTTTGAAAGCTCTGCAATTCAAGGGCGATGGCCTCCAACTGATTTAATTTGGTCTTTTCAGCTTTCTTGCCTGGCTCTGTTGACTTCCTGATACGTGTGTGTGTGTTTGTGTGTGTGTGTGTTTTCATGTTTTCACTCAACCATGACAGTCTGGGGAGTCTGCATGTGCTTTTAAATTTCATTCCTGCTCGAAGGTTTGTCCTACTTAGCTGCAGTTTCTAAGGGACATTTGCACAGGTGTATGTGACTCAAACGTCAAGAGTGAGACTAACTGCATCCTGGCCAGCAGGTCCCTCATGAAAAGATGCTGGTGGTTAGAAGCCAGCATATTCCATGACAGATGTAGCTCAAGTCAGCATCAGACTGAAGACTGAGGCTTTGGATCAGGCTGGGAGTAGACAACAGCAGAATATCCCACCAGAGTCCTCAAACTCAGCAACACAAGATTCACATTGGAGCCAAGGATTACACCCAAACTTGCATTTAAGACACCACTATGGTTCCTGAAAGCTTCTGGCTGAGACTTGAAGGTGATGTCAGTTACACGTAGGAGGTTGTCACACTTATTTGCGTGCTTTGGAGGGCTGCTTAAGAATTTAAACTCTTACTTAAAGCCAAAGGAGAAAGCATAGGAGGTTGTCACATTAATTCTCATGCTTTGGGGCTCTGTTTAAGAATTTGTAAACTATTTTAAAGCCAAAGGAGAGAACCTGAGTATGCCACTAATTATAAAAGCTCAGAAGTTCTTCCTGCTGGCGCCAAATATTAGAATGAGTTAGTAGCTGATACCAGTGGCAAAAAGCAAGAATATTCTTTCTGACCTTGAGCTGGAGACCTGACTTGTGACACACTCTCACGACTGGGTGTTGTAATGAACTTGACAGTTGCTTTATAGTATTCTGTGCTCTTCCCGAAGGAATCTCAGCCTGCCTGACCTTTGCTAGATACTGAATGTTTGAGGACTGTGTGTGTGAACAGGTGTGGACCTACTAATGTTTTTAGCACATGGCTCTGATGAGGTTGGCGTGAGGAAACCAGCTCCTCCTTGGACTGAAGGCAGACTGCAGCCCCTTCAGTTTTATCCCTTCATCTGTCTGGTTTGCTGCGTTTGCTTCATTCAATACACCACCTGTGCCATCTTCTCTCTCACCTCTCCTGCATGGGCAGCCTGGGCACAAGACCTGTGTGTCCTGATCCTTCACTTTGGCAAAGTCTGAGGGTGAGGGCCACGGTATAGTCCCAGTGTTTCCCTGCCTTGACCAATGACAAAGATGGCCAAATGGATCCTAGGGCTCAGCTAGAGGAGAGAGATTTTCATGATGGCGATAAGAAGGACCCTCAGTGTTTTTCATTGGCGAGTGAGTTACAACCCACATACTTGCAGATCAAATGTCAGTGTAAGAAAAACCACAATGATCATTACAGAACTGAGCCCTAAATTTGCCCCCACTAATGAAACTTTACTTTTCTTGTTACTTTTGAATTCAGTTCAGCATCCTCCTTGGGTGAGGGGAAAGCTTCTTTCCATATCAAATGTATTAGCTAATTTAAACTATACCATACAAAACTGCCTTGCCAGAAATGCCAATAGCTTCCTGTCTGTAAGCAAAGCAGTGCTGCTCTCTGAAGTGGGGGCTCCCCAGCTCCACTCCCCAGCAGAAAGCTCCAGGCTGAGTGGTGGGTCACGGCACAACCTGGTTCTTCCAACTGCCAAATCAAATCAAATCAGTGGGCTACAACACCCTATCTGTTGCGTTGAACTGGGCTCAGCATGCTTGTCCCCAGAACGTCCAGGTCACTGCACAGGAAATGAGTGTTCTCTGCTTGAATCCCGCCCTGCATAAAAAATTCCAGTTCTTAACACTGTCAAATTAATGAGAATTGTTTACTCTAGAAAAAGGAAGTATATGCATGGCAAGCTTCCCTGGTGCATACAGAAAGGGCTACATTTTTGAGCATTGGACTGACTAGTGATTCTTGAAGCATAGGCTGATTGCATGAAGAGGCCTCTATAGTTACATGAAAGTCAGCGCTTCCTTTAGAGTTTCTTCCAGAAAAGCCAGGATACCATTTAGTCTTTGGGTGTGATTTATGTTGAAACACAGAGCGTTTGGAAACTTGTCCATCTTGCTGGGTGTCTGTCTCTTGGTTTGGGTTCGTTACTGAATGTTCTTAATGTGACTTCTTTAATCACAAAAGAGAAACCTTCTGTTCTCAGAAAGCTTGAACAGAAAAGCTAGCGTCAATGGGTAATAAGGTGCAAAGAAAAAAAAAAGTTTTTCCTTGTCATGTCCTCTTAGTCTCCCCTCTTCTCCTAGTTCTGTAGTGTCCAAGCTGAGCTTCCTCTTCCAGGGTGAGGCTGGAACTATGCCTTTTTCAACTTCTATCCCCTCCATCTGCGATGTCAGTCAGCTCCACTGGGAAAAGTCTTGCTGGAAATGTTTCTTAAACTTTCACCTAATTTCTTTACACTTTAAAGCAAACACCTTTTTCTAAAGAACTGCTTCTCAGATGATTATATAAAATATATATGCTTTTGCAAGTTGAAAAATTCAAATTCACTTTTGACTAGGTAGGTCTTTCTAAAAACTCTTTAAGGCAAACTTGCTGTTAGCATTCTCCTGCGTGTTGAAGGGGCAGGGGACCCTCCTGTCTGTAGGCTCCCAGAGCCCTCTCTCTGAGCGCTGGGAAAGACGGTGGAAGGAAGATGACCTTTGTGCTATCAACCCTTCTGTGTCCTCTGCAGGAAGCTCAGTTTTTACAAATCATCTTGTTTGTATTTCCGGTCACTGTTTAATCTGTACTTCCTAGGCCAGACTTGATTTTATCTGACTTATTAAGATTATTTCCTTTTGATAAAACAAGTGTTTGTCAGGATGCCCAAAAACTCACTCATTAGTACTCCCTTTTGAAGTACGTTCTATTTAAAAAAAACAGATTATTTCAGGCTTGAGCTTTGTAATGACACCTTATAGTGCTGACTTGCATTAAGGGAACTACCCAATTATGCTTTTTTTTTTTTAAAGGATAATTGCTTTACAGAATTTGGTGGTTTTCTGTCATACATCAACAAGAATCAGCCATAGGTACAACCATGTCTCCTCCCTCCCGGATACCCTTCCCAATTATATTTTAATGAAAGAGAAACTTTGGTATTAAAAAAAAATCACTTTCTGTTTGCAAGAAGCAGTGGGCAGATGGACTGACACACTTTGCATGTGAATCTTTGTTTTTCATTTGGGACAAGTTTCATTTATGGCAGACTCGAAAGGGGGAAGTGGTCAATTTAAGCTGAAAAGATTTCTAAACAATCTGCTTGTACACAGAAAAATTAAACCCAATCTTTTCTGATGCTTAGTGTAATGGAGTGGCAATTGCTCTCATTAAATAAAGTTCTTCCCCAAAGAGTCTCTCCCAAGCCCTGAGTCGCTTTCTGAGCCCATTTGGCAAAGGTAGAGGAGAAGCCTGCATCCACTAACATTCAGAAAGGTAGGGAGCTACTTAGTGATTGTATACATGTATGTTTCTTTACTCTTACGAAAGAGGAGTGTCCAAGGGATTGGTGTTCTTTTGGGGTGTTCTGTACAGACCTGTCCAGTAATAAACGTGTGTGGTTTCTGTGAGTTGCCGACAATCCTGCATCGAAGCTTTTGCAGTTCTTTCATTTTGAAGTTGGGTTTAATGGAATTTTTTTTTGCAAGTGTTGAAAGGCATACTGTTCTTCCTACCTCCCCTCCCCTTCCAGAAATATGAAAGCAAATGTTTGGAAGAACTGTTGTTTAAAAGATGTATCGTGTCCCCCGTGAAAGTATGTGGGTGTCTGTCAGTGTCCCGAGTGCCACGTGCCAGTGCACAGAGGCGGGGGTGGCCCTGGGCCCGAGCTGCTGTGCTTGTGATGCTGACCTGCTCCACGCTCCTGTTGAAATCAGCACCTGCCTCCCCCCGCCGCTGTCTGGCTTCACTGTTGTCCTCACAACTCAGTGAATAAAGTGTGTGCTTTATTCGTAACTGCCTCCACACCGTGTTTTCTTTCTGGTTCCCTCGCTCCCTTTAAAGGTCTGTCCCATTTGAAAAAGTGCCAAAGGACTTCCCTGGTGATCCAGCAGTTAGGAATCCATCTGCCAGTGCAGGGGACATGGGTTCAGTCCCTGGTCCGGGAAGATCCGACATGCCAAGACAACCAAGCCCGTGCTCTGCAACAAGAGAAGCCACCGCAGTGGGAATCCCTCACACCACAACTGGAAAGCAGCCCCTGCTTGCTGCAACTAGAGAAAGCTAGTGCAGCGACTAAGACCCAGTGCAGCCATTGAATAAATAAATATCCTTTGACCTAGAAATTTTTTTAGTGCCATTCCAACTTCTCAAGACCAAAACAAAATCAGAATCAGAGTCCTAGGAGTGCAATCTTATCATCTAGGCAGACATGTTAGAGGGGAAAATGCCTGAAATAGCAGTGGTATATTACAGGAAGGTTTGCTCAATAACCCAGACCATATTGACGACGTAAACTAAAGAGAAAAAAAGAAGGTAACAGAGCTGCTGCTCTATGCTGGTCTGGCTGTTGTTTAGTTTTGCTTGAGTCACAGAGCAGCAGTGGTCTCATCATTGAAGCAAGGCTGGGGATTTGAGGTTGGAGGACAAGCGCTTCTGATCTGCCATGAGTTGACCACGTTGCTAAGAAGTTAGAGTGCAGTGGGAAGGAAACATTCTTCAAAACATCTTTGACCTCCACTGCATTATCAAAGAAAATCTTGAGGATTTCGATTGTTATCTTCACTGGCAAGATTCGGGGCTTGCTGGAAGACATCAGGATATATGTATACTCACAATGGCCTCTCCGACTATAGCCATCCGACTAGGTGTCTAACAAGCCTGGTGTCTTACTCCACGTGGGCTGCTGTAACAGACCACCAGACACAGGGTGGCTTGACCAGCAGTTATTTCTCACCGTTGTGGAGTCTGGAAGGCCAAGACCAAGGTGGTGGCTGATCCAAGGTCGGGCCAGAACCCTCTTGGTTTTGTAAACAGCCATCCTGTGGTTGCATCTTCACATGCTAAGAGCAGACAGGAAGTAATCTCTCTGACATCTCTTCTTAAAACTAATTCCACCAGGTGGGCTCCACCCTTGTGACGGATTTACCTCCCAGAGGCTGCCTCCTGATACCGTTCCTGTGGGTGTTAGGACGTCAATCTAAGGATTTGAGGAGCACACAAACATGCAGTCCCCAGTCTGTAACACAAGCCCAGGGGCCTGCCACCCTAGCATTCATGTGGATCCTCACCTGGAAGCCGGAAATGGGTTATTCTCAAGGCAGTTGGCAGGTTAGTTGGCTGCTGTGGAAAACGGGTCGGGAGGCCTGGGCTCAGCATCTGTGTTCTGCTCACTATTGCCGCAGCCCACACCAGCATCACTACTCAGGTTGGGTCGTGATTCCCACAGACGGTGTCAATCTTGAGTCGAGATGATCTTGAGTGCCCTGTGGCATGGGCCGCCATGGATCACCACTGCATCGGAAGTTGACTCACTGATAAGTCACTGTTTCTTGCCCACAGCGGAGCTCAAGCTGGTGCTGGGAATCCTAGGCTTTTCCTGACGGGCCCTGGCCCCGCCCACTGCAGGTCGCCCCACCCACAATTCCCCACCCGCTGTGCAGCCGCCCCGCCCACAATGTCCGGCCCACGACGCCCCACCCACTGCTCGGCCACCCCTCCCACCTTGAATCTCGCCCTCCAGCTCTTCCAAAAGCACTGTGAGTTCCCTGAATGCATCGTGCCCTCTCCACCTCTGCAGCTTTGCTGAGGGCAAGTGTTCCGTATGAGGTCCAGCTCTTCCAGGCAGTGGAAAGACGTGAGGACCTGGCCCCGCGGACAGAAGGTAATGGCAGTGTTGACTATCTGAAATTAGTTGCCCACAGCTCTTTGGAGTTACCGTGTGAGTTTCCCATGGGCTCCATTGGCCCTAAATCAAAGACCAGCCTGAGTTCACACCCTCTCTCGGAGCCTGCCTTGATGGGCCCAGCCCAACCTGCCCCAGTAAATTCTTTGCATGCCTATGGGTGAACATCACGTTTGGTGCTTTTCAACTGTTGCCTAATACTGCTAGTTTTGCCTGGGTTTCTGCTCTTCAGCTGAACTGCAGTGAGATAGATGGTCTCCATATTGAGTGCTTCATGTTAGGCTTCCCCTTAGCTGGATCCCTCAGGACAGCCCTAGGAGCAGATGGCTCCTCTGTAACAGGTGAGGGAACCAGAGCTCCGAGGCTAATTAAACATGCCTAATCCCTCAGGGAGCTGGAGAGCTGGGATTCTCCAGGTCTGTGCCACCGCGGGTCCTATGCTGCTTCTGTGTCTCACCACCCGTGACCTTCTGAAAGCCAGGACGACGTCCCCCACGTTCTACATCTTTGGGGGGTGCATGACACAGAGGAGCCTCTCAGTGTGAGACTGGCCAGTCCCCTTCAGTACCCTCCACCAAGGCACAATTAGACATAGTGCTCGGGGCTTCCCAGGTGGCACTAGTGGTAAAGAACCCACCTGCCAGTGCAGGAGACATAAAGAGTCGCCGGTTTGATCCCTGGGTCAGGAAGATCCCCTGGAGAAGAAAATGGCAACCCATTCCAGTATTCTTGCCTGGAGAGTCCCAGAGACAGAGGAACCTGGTGGGCTACAGTCCATAGGGTCACAGTCAGACACAACTGAAGCGAAGCATTCTTTTTTCTTTTCTGGGGGTACTCACTAGCTGTGTGTCTCAGGGCCAGTCATTTAACCTCTTTAGGCCTCTGTTTGCTCGTCTGCAAAATTGATGAAAATAATAAGACCCATCAGAAGATCTTTACTAAACATGA